CTGGGCCAGGTTCTAACCCACCACCCTCAGTGTATGTAGCTGGCACTGCAACCACTGTGCTACGGGCACTGAGCCTACATTGTTATTCTTTTTGTTGGCAAATATTATATCTTAATTAATTTTAAAGATAATCAAAGTGATTGGGGATATTGGCAAAAATACAACTATTTCTTCGGTGTCTAATTTGTGTTGCCAATTGATAGATTTAACTTAGCACTTGGGACTTCTTAGGAACATTAATCAGCCATTAGAGTCCTTTGGTTAGGGCTCAGTCAAATCTTCAGTTAGCCTTAGAGATGGTGGTAACGTTTGCATAAGGGATTAGCACACCTTAACAACTTAGTCATTCTCAGTTTTCTTTTCACAAAAGTGAAACTCCATTAAAACATTACAAGAATAGTGCTTGCTTGGGCAGCACATATACTAAAGTTGGAACAATACAGAGAAGATTAGCATGAACCCCGCGTAAGAATGACACACAAATTTGTGAAGCATTCCATATTTTTAAGAAAATTACAAGAATATTAAGTAATTTTAAAGAAACACCTAGATTCCTTAGCTTAATTAATTATTAATTATTACGACTTTGACATTATACTTCAGTTTGAGCAGACCACTTTTTACACCTTGCTCTGAATCTTCTGAGTCAGAAGATTCTGAGCATAGTTATGGCTGTTGCTTGACTGAGTTTTCACTCAAGTATTGCCCCTCTTAAGTTCAGAGTAGTATTTTCTTTATCTGGGGCCAGTATAAAGTAATAACTGACAGTCTTCCTCATCTTAGTATCCAGCACACATATGACCATCACTGATTATATTAGCGAGTTAAACTACACTTAGGGTTACTTCCAAAAAGTAGCAGTTGACACTAGAATTTGGATTTGGTTTGTAAAAGACACATGTGTCTTCCAGAACAACTTTTAAAAAATCAACATTTAATCAGAAAATGGAACAAAGTTTTTAATTAGAAGTGTGAGACATTTTTATTCAGTTTATCAGAGTGGTGAAATTAGCCTGTCCTTTCTAGGAGTGAAAATGGATTCATAGAGACTCTGTAACTTCCATAGACAGAGAGGGAGACAGATTTTGCTAGTTTCTTCAAGCAGAGGAAAGAATTCTTGTAGTACAAAGGTAAAATACTAAATTTCAGGCAGTTTTAACATGTGGATTGTGGTGATGGTTGTACAGCTCTGTACATTTTTCTCCATCATTGAATCATAAAATGCATGAATTTTAAAAGAAACTATAGTTTAATGAAGCTGTTTTTCTTTAAAGATGATGCCTATCTTAAAGGGCTCTTAGGATTTATTAATTTATTAGTATAAGTGCTGAGTATAATAGAAATTCAGTAGATGACAATTATTATTATTGATAAAATCAGCAACTGCTGTTAAGGTGCCAGAGTCATTTAGTGGTGGCTTAAGGCCTAGAATATATGGCTTTCTATCCTTCATAGAATCTGAAACTCCTATTGTTGAAACAGAGAAAAGGAGAGGGAGGGAGGAGAAAGAAAGGAAGAAAACCTAGCTAAAGCCTAATTTTGTATATCATTTACTGACTTTCATTTAATGCAGGGTAGAGTGGGGCACTGGTATTTTAGAATTGTGAAATCATAGCAAATCTTTCCTTTTTAGGAGGAGTAAAACTTGGATTGGGAGATTTCATTTTCTACAGTGTTCTTGTTGGTAAAGCTTCAGCAACAGCCAGTGGAGACTGGAACACAACCATAGCCTGTTTTGTAGCCATATTAATTGTAAGTATACTCTAGTAAAAATGTGCAGACTCCTAAGATCAAAATTGATTATCCTTTTAAAGGCAGTTCTGTTTTAACTCCAGGTATACTAAGTGTTCCAGTCCCCTGAGGAAATTTTTAAAAACACAGATAATTGGACCTCACCTCAGTAATTCTCCTTCCTTGCTGCACATTAAAATTGCCTAAGAACTTTTAAAACTGTGAGCTCTGCCCTGAGATATTCTTTTTTTTTTCTTTTGAGACAGAGTCTCACTACATTGCCCTCAGTAGAGTGATGTGGTGTCACAGCTCAGCTCACAGCAACCTCCAGCTCTTGGGCTTAAGCGATTCTCTTGCCTCAGCCTCCCAAGTAACCGGGACTATAGGCTCCCACCACAACACCCGGCTATTTTTTGGTATAGTTGTCATTGTTGTTTAGCAGGCCCGGGCTGGGTTTACCTGCCATCCTCGGTGTATGTGGTTGGCACTGTAACCACTACCACTGTGCTACGGGCACTGAGCCTGCCCTGAGATATTCTTATTAAAAATTTTTTTTTTTTTTTAGAGACAGTCTCACTTTATCGCCCTCAGTAGAGTGCCGTGGCAGCCTTACACAGCCCACAGCAACCTCCAACTCCTGGGCTTAGGTGTTTCTCTTGCCTCAGCCTCCCTAGTAGCTGGGAGTACAGGTGCCTGCCACAATGCCCCGTGTTTTCTGTTGCAGTTTGGCTGGGGCCAGATTTGAACCCACCACCCTCAGTATATGGGGCTGGCGCCCTACTCAGTGAGCCACAGGCGCTGCCCTAATTTTTTTGATTGTTAATTTTTCAGAGTTTGCCAGGAGATTCTGGTAAATACTTCTGGTTAGTAATTACTGCTTCAAGCCCTGAGGCAGCATAGATGGGAATGAAATTTTATCTCTGCTAGATGTCAGTTCTTTAAGAGATAAACAGATCTTCACTTAGTCCCTGGACTTAATTACTGAGGGTTTGGTCATTTCACACTTAGTGACACGAAGTACAGCATATGGTGTCCATTTGGGCAGCAAGTGTACAGTGAGAGAAACTAACGCTGTGCATGATCCCACATAAATCTTGCTTATAGCTTGAACCCTGAAGATTTCAAAACTATGATTCAAGTTAAAAACTTGGTAAAATATTTCTTACTGCTATTTTTACTAAAGATGTGATTATCTTTGAAGTATGTTAGTAAAGTTAGATGATGAGGTAAGAAGAGCCTTATGCGTTTATGTTGTGATTACATTTGTGATTTATCATACTAAGTTAGAATTTCCATGTATTTTATTTGTCTTTTGAGGTTTGTTTTCTGGTTTTGGATGTATTTATTGGATATGTCATGTCTTTTAAGAAGATTGCTTATTTTTAATGAACCAGAATAGTGCTTAGCCTCCAGACCTTATAGCTAGTGTCTCAGTAACTAGAGTAAAAAATGAACTGTATTATATATGGCTTTCTACTCTTTATAAGCAAACTGTTGTTAGCATCTCTAATGAGCATCTCTTTGTTCCCATTATAACATAAAGAATGCTCTTCACCTTTGGGATTTTAACGAGTCAAATTAAAATCACAGTGACCTACTCAATTTGTAATTTTTTTTTTTTTTTTTTTTTGGTTGCAGCCATCATTGTTGCTTGGCGGGCCGGGCTGGGGATTCGAACCCGCCACCTTAGGTGTATATGGCTGATGCCTTAACCGCTTGAGCCACAGGTCTTGATCATTCTCTTAGTCAGTACTGCCTTAATCAAATTCCCCAAAGTAAAGGGAAATCTAGCTTTTCCAACCAGAATACCCAGTATATTCCATATGTAAATTCAAATT